AAATTATTGCACTTGCTTTCAGAATAATACCTCTTCACCAGTGATTTAGGGATAAAAATATTGGTAGATAGAACTTCAGGACTGCATTTCACTTTAATGGCACCTTCACTTTTACCTATTAATATACTATTAATATAATAGCTTTGAATTTGTACCATCTAGATGGCGATCTAGACAGATTACAATTGTACACTCAAACCAAACTAGAATATCATTGTAGCATCCAACGTTATGAAAATTGCTGAAGTTTTTTTGCAATAAGAGATTGAAAATTAGTGGAAAACCATTTTTACCATAATGTTAGCATTCTTCAAGAAATTATTTCTCAAAGGCTTATGGGTTGGGATATATATAGAAATAAAGTGATAGAAAATATTGCACATGGAAATTTATCGATGCAACTAACCTACATTTGTGCAATTAATTGTACATGAATTATTTAATTATCAATGTTCCAAGGGCAATCTCATTCTATCATTAAAAATTTGAAAATAACTGAAAGTAAATAAAAACGTGTTAAACAACGAATATTATTTTATTTGCTTGATTCACCATAATAACTTAAAAATTGCTTATTTTTATTGTTTCATTTTTCACTCGAACAACTGTCATACATTTTATCTGTTCGTCCGATAAAGACTTTATGTCGACCACTCAGGCAGTTTCATTTTCATACTATGGTATTTTAAACATTCAAAGAAACACATTTCATTTTAGAATTATCACTAATTTTACGATTTTTTTGTTAATCATTAATTGCCACTCAGTTTTTTACGCATATGCTCTTCCTTCTTGTTAAATATTTCTTCTTTGAATGAAAACCAGACTTTTCCCATTTTCAGAAATCTTAAAATCGCATTTTTCATTTCAAAAGTGCTTTTAAAAATCTAAAATTTTCTCATTGAAGGATTGAAAAAAAATAAAAATTTGGATTTCGACAAAAATTTGATTTTATTCTGGCTTGGATAAAATAAAACAGTACGAGGATAGCAATTAGGAAAAGGTTCGATTGGTAGAAAAGGTGAAAGGAAAGAGAAGAGAGTGATCGGCAGAAAATTGGATACTCAGATAGAGGGATGATGGTTTCACCTTTGACAGTCTTGAAAAATTGAGTTGAATATGGATTTTGAAAATTGTCTACCTGGTCGTTGGGACTCGATGATGACGTAATGGTACATAAAATGGTACATAATAGAAATACTCAATCAGATAATTTGGTATGAAATTAATTTAAAAAATTCTGATCTTGAAAACGCAAAAAATTATTGAAAACTTAAAAAAAGAATAAAAATTTTACCGAATAATTTCTTTTGTTTTAAATTTAAAAAATTAATTTTGCTTTAGCATTTCAATATTTATTTGTCTTTTCCGTTAAAGTTCAATTTAAGTCGAATTATTTATACTTCAATCGAATCAAAAACCTTTATTCTTTTATTTTATTTTTATTTTTGTTTATCGAATTTTTTCCTCAGTTTTCCTTAGAAGCCTTTTTTTTATTTTACAAGAAATGAAATGAAATTAAGTGGTATTGAGGTTGATTCCAGCACATCGCTTTATGCCTTCTTTGGCTTATACTTAAATAAATAAAATTAAGCCTTAAGCTTTACATGTGGAACAATCCTTGTGGCATTTTATAAAAAAATAATATTTTTAAATCAAATTTCAAGTAAATTTACTTAAATTTATTTTTTCTGAAATTTAGTATTCCTGATCTGAGCTATTGCCTACTAGAATGAAATCCTTTCGCCAGAGAATCATTTGGAGACATTTGGAGAGCTGAAGTCGATTAGCAGCACCCTGATTTCCATTTCGGCGAAGAGCAGAAATCTTATGCATCTTATGATATTGATGAAATGATAGAAAATCATTCAGTAAATTAAAAATATAACGATTAAATTCTAATTTATTAATATGACTGAAATAAATCATTAATGGCGCCAATGTTGGTTTTCTGATCGAGTTTTTTTCTTTTTGATTGAAAACTCATGTGTTTCACTTATTCATTTGATTAATGTCGATATGAATTAAATATTTTAGATTTCGAAACAGTATTGAATCAATGCCATTTCCATTTATAATTTTTAAAATAAAAGAAAAATGAAGTTTGTGATAAAAAAATGAGTAAATTTATATTAAATAATAAAAAATAATATATTAAAAAATAAAATAATAAATGCTATATTAACTGGTGAAAGTAACGTTGTAAGTGAGAAAGTTCCATTCCAAATTCCAAATATCGAAATTCCAAAATTGCATAAATTAGTCAACAAAAAAATTAGGTACGGCAGGATGAATGGGTTGAATGAATTTTATCGGTTAGATTCGAGAGAATGGGTTTAAATTACCTTTGATATTTTTTTTTAAATTGGCTGGAAAATCAGATCAATGTTGCATTTTAATCTTTTTTTTACAAAATACAAATATGTCGTAAATCTAAAGGCAATGCCGAAATTTCTCCGCATAAATTAGATTTCATCAAAAATTTTTTTTTTCTTTCAGTTTTATCGGGACATCGATTTAATGGCCATGTTTTGCCTCCATCTGAAAACAATTCAGGCAATGAGTCGAACTATTTTAAGCTACTTGAAGTTGATGGCAGCTCATTACTCGTTGGAGCAAGGTATTTATCTTATTTCCTTTCCTTTATATTTCCTTTATATTGAATATTTCCTTTCAGTTTTTCTCATATAATTTTTTTATTTTATTTTTTTTACGTTAAAAATGAAATAATGAAAGTCCAATGTCAAGATATAAGATGATATTCAGCATTCCATTCCATATCGTCGCTTTTTTATAACTCTTGTGCTACTTTTGTTATTTATATCCACTTTTTATGGATATTTTAGTGGTTTCTTTGAATTTATCTTGAATACATCGTGATGATTGAGCTAATTTACTAGTGGAACTACTTTCTACTATTTTCTTGCGATAGATCGGTTGCTTACACTTGTGGTTTGGAAATTTGTGCACTTCTCCGATTATTTATTCATTATAGAAAGTAGAGTGATCGTACTGTATGCATAAGGATCATTTTATTGATGACTTTTCTATGTCGCCATTACGGTCAGAGAAAATACTGAAAAAAAAGTTTGCTTTCCCGCTCAGTCAGTGAAATGTTAGGTGACTCTTAGAACCCAGAGGGACTCTAACCCGGGGTTAGCTAAATGAATATTATCAGGAAAATAAGGAGAAATCAGTTAAATGACTTGCAGAAAAAGTTAAATGAAAAAACTCATTTATTAGAGGGAGAAAATATCGGTCATTTTTTCATTTTGATGTTTTTTCCCTTTGTTTCAGTTCAAAAGTACAGTTGGACTAAATAAACAATAGAAAATAAATCAGCGATAACCAATGACTATTTTTCTGCATAAATTTGTCACTTAAAGCTTAAATAACAAGGAATGATATAATTTTATCATGAGCGTTTCTTTGTTTAATAGCCTAATTTTTTCACCATAACTATAGTTGTTTTCATTACTACTATTGTTACTATAGTTATCATTGTATTTATTCGAATGGAACCAGTATTACCAATATTAGAACTCGTTCGATGCCAATATATAACAACAGAGAAAAAATTTTTTTTGATTTAATTTTTTATTTTTTTTAAAATAAACAAAGCCTGATTACTTTTCTCCGAATACTGCTATCAGCTTTACTTCTGTAGAATTGTAAGTGCTGGCGAATAACCAATTTTAAGTCCTAATTTATTCAATTAAAAATCACAGAATGAATGAATCTGAAAGTGTCCTAAAAAATTGACTGAGTTCTAACACAATAAAATGATGCAGATCATTTTTCTCCATGAAATTTTTGTGCATTGTCTATTATTCTTAAAATACTTCGCAACAAATTTTCTAAAGTGCATTATTTTGATTAATATGTTATTTGTAATGTGAATTTCATTGGGATCATCAAACTTAATCTGGAACTGAACGAGTAAATCTTTGCATGAAATAAAAATCCTTGACCCTTTAACTGATTTTCTGCAACAATGCACATTTAGGTTAGTTAGTGGGATTATTTTGGTATCAAATCGGCCATAATAAAAATGAATAATATTCCAAGATTTTCCATAATTTATTTGGTAGAAAGGTCATTCGTTATTAGACGTTCACATCGGTGAATCAATAATTCTATTTTTTTGTGGTTCATTTAAAAGTATTGTGATGAATGAAAAATTATCGCTTGACCATCAGTGCGGTGAATCTGTGATTTGATTCCAGTATTAAAGTAAGGTGATACGTTGCGATAATATTCTTTCTTTGATTTTATTTATTGTCAAATAAAGATTTTTAACTGCAAATGATGTGCATATAAATTGATTAATTATGTTATAATTATAATTAAATTTATTATGATTGAAAAATTAAGCTTTTTAATTTCCACATCCCCTCAGGTGATGTTGGGGATCCATTTGTGCCTCGGCAAATTTTTATTTTTATTCATGTTCTCATTCCTTAGATCAACTGCTATTCTTAATTGTTTCAATAAATACATTTCTAATTTAAAAGCTAATCCCTTTTAAAATTATTTTATCTTGGATTATGATCTACTGTGACTATAGTGGATAAGAGGGTAAGGTAAGAGGGTTTTAAAAATAAAGAAGAATTTATGAAAGACTTACATGACTCATGATGATGGTGAAAGCAAAAAATTATATTATGCATATCATCCGTATGTCTGCACATAGCCAAATATTTGATGGTTTTTTTAGAGGGAGCTAAAAAATAATCATCATATACTTATTATATTGAAAAAGTATTATATAAAATGAAATTATGTCAATCCGAGAGGATGAATAAACATGTTATTGAAAAATCTTGGCTTATCTGCACTTCTTTCTGTATTTCTGCACTTCTCTAAGTAAGTCTCCAGTATTCTTTATCGTACTAACAGCCACTGAATCGAGACTAACCACATTCTTATTCAATTATAAATGTTGGAGGTTTAATATGTTAATTAATTCTTTTTGCAGAGATGCAGCGTACAATTTATCGATGGCGAATCTTGAAGTACAACATGTAGGTCATTTATTGTTTTCCACACTTTAAAAAAACGATGGATGGATTTTTAGATTTTTTAAATTTAAAATTCCCCTTTCTCTAATATGTATCAATGCTAAATATTGGAAAAATTCAGTACAACAAAAGTTAAAAGGGGGAAAAACTCACCCGCGATTTTTTAAACGAAATTTTTTCGAAATGTGCACAGATTTATGGTAGACCCATAATCGTCGAAATCGAAGGGAAATACTAAATACGTCAGGTCTTTTCAGCAATTTTTCTACAAAAAGTTTGATCTAGAAATTTTTAGAACTACCTAAGAAGAATTTGGTCTTTAAAAAATAAATCTTCCAAAAAAATTCTCTTTCTTTGATAAGGTCAGATTTCCTTGTGGCGAACCATTCTGAAAAATTCTAATGTTTTTTTCGTATTCTTAGGAGCATTTTTAGTTTTTCCTGTCCTAAAAATGATTTTTTCCATTAGAAATAAATCGAATCTTTTTATATTTTTATATTATACTGCAATTTCATTATTATTTTCGTTTAAAAGTATAAATAATTTATAAATATACAAATTTACAAATTACTTGTTAAAATTCCTTGATAGCCACATTAGCTTATCTGAGATGATCAATCCCTCTTAAATAGTCACTATGTGATGGTTATTAATTCATGCAACACTCTTGAAAATTTCAAGGGTAGTATCATTCTTTTTCTCAACGACACTTCATTGTAATACACAAAGTGAAATGATTTTAAAAGAAGCTAAGAAAAAAAGTATTATGATGCCCATGCAATTAATCAGAGAAGACCTGTTCTTTTTTGCTAAAACGAACTTTATATTTTAATACGTCATTTCCTGCTGAATTTTTCTTCAGACCAGTTGTATTTTAAATTATTGAGTTATCAATCAAATTTAAATTGGATTACTGATAAGCGAAATTTCTTGACGATCCAAAGTTATAATTAGTCAACGCCTAGATTGTCATTTTGGAATGCCATTAAAAAATCCTGGTGATATTGTAGATCACCTAAGTTTCTGGCCAAATACGTCTTGGCAAAAGCTTCTGATTAGACAGTCAATGAAGCTAATAATAATAATACTAACAAGTAAAATAGTTGAAAAAATAGTCAGAACCCATATTAATCCCTTCTAAAACAAAATTTCAGGTATTGGAATGGGCCCCTCCCGGACAAACAGTTGAAGATTGCTTGATGAAGGGTAAAAGTCGAGTAAGTTACCTTGCTTTGGTATAAAATTTTTGGAAATTTGTTGAAAAAGCAGTAATTGATCGATTAGTCAAATTTATATATTGTATTTTAACATGGAATTTCAGCTAGAATGTCACAATTATATACGTGTAATGATTCGACAGATAAATGGCCGTTGCCTTATATGCGGTACCCATGCTTTCTCACCAAAGTGTCGTGAATATATTTTTTTAAATGATGATCGCTTGCTTCATCATCGCCGAGAGTTCGATGGACAGGTGCATCTCCGTTTTTTCGAAATCATTTTTTATAACATGGTTCAGTTGTAAACCTATTATCAAAAAAATACAGGTGGTGCTGCGGACTCGTTTTTACTCCTACTGTTTAGCAATATAATCTTTACTATTAAGATATGAAACAATTATAAACATATGAAAATTAGAAAATATTGTTTATTTTTAATATAATATATAATAATATGTTTATTTTTAATATGATATTTTTAATAATATTTTTCTTTGAAACAATATTATATTTCAGGCAATTTCGCCGTACGATCCTCGCGATAATTCCACTGCCGTTTATGTTGGAGAAACTGATGAAATCTATACGGGTACCGTGTCAGATTTCGCTAGCAATGATCCATTAATTTATAGAAAGCGCCTTTCTGATGACGATGGTCTGCGAACGCAACGAGATGATCTCAAAGTGCTTGACTGTATGTTTGACATAACAATATAGAACATTTAGAAAATTTAAACTAATGCCTCTTCAAAAATAATTTGATTTGAATTTTAGGAACTTTTTTGATATTTGATTTTGAAGAGAACGATTAATTATTTTATGCTTATTTGCAGCTCCAAATTTTGTGGCGTCATTTGCCTATGGCGATCACGTATATTTCTGGTACAGAGAATGGGCCGCTGAATCAAGTGACACTGATAGACAGGTGATTTGTGAATTATGGAATATCCCTTTTGATTTTGGCGCTTTATTCATTTTTTCTTTGCATCGCTTGGTGATTTATTAAATCGCAAAAAATGAGGTGCTCGGTGATTCTTAAGGAAAAAATATCACATATCAAAGTTTAATTTTTTATTTGTTGCTAAAAAGTTATTTTTTGGTTTAGGTCTATGCACGAGTTGCTCGAGTTTGCAAAAAAGACCGTGGTGGTGCTAGACCTGCACATGAGAGATGGACTTCCTTTGTTAAGGCTCGCCTGAATTGCTCATTACCATCAAATACTCCATTCTATTTTAACGAGCTACGTATGTTGTAATTCTATTATGTATTCGATTTATCTCCACTGTCAAAAGATCAATTTTGAATTTTATTTAGATTAACATAACATTACAGTAGAATCCTTTCGGGTATTCAATACACTCCAATACACATTATTCTGCGGAGTGATCAGCTGGGCTTAACTAACCAATAATGGTACCAGGTGTTGTAAAAAATGATGAAAAAATATCGCAGTAATTTTTTAGGCATCAATTTGCAATTAATAGTTTTATTAATGCTGTACTGGAAAGGTTTTTACCATAGATTTTTCTACCATAGGTTTTTCTGTATGATCTGTTGAGCACAAGAGTTGATGGAAGGGAAAAATAAATGAAAATCTTCGGCTTATTTTGTCATAAAAAAGTCCAAACCTTGTTCGATTTCCGTTTCTTCGACTTAAGTCAGGCATCAGGGATTTCTAGCAACCCGCCAGTATTTCTATCATCTGGCAAAAAGATTTTGCTCTAACAGTCAATAGTGCCAGCAAAACGAGAAATGGTGTTTTGAAGAAGAAAATTGAGATAAAAAGTCTTGAATCTTATACTTTGCACATAACTGCCATTTTTGCGTCTTTATTCTTTTGAAATCGAGTCGCTCATTTTTATGTTTGATTAATGACTTTGCTCATTCATTTATTATTAATTATTATTAAGAAAATGGCACAGGCATTGGAAATTTTCAAATTTCTTTTTCTTTTTTTTTTCATTTTCAATTGAACTATCGTTTCATTTTCTAGTATCTCATGAGCGAGTAAAAACGATTCTTTCATGAATCTTTTTGTAGAAGCTATAACAGGACCAGTTCCATATAATGATGGTACAACGGTTGTATATGGAGTTTTTACTACACCGGAAAGTGGCATCAAGATGTCGGCTGTTTGCCTTTTTCGAATGGAAGCTATTAAGCGAATTTTTGATTACGGACACTTTAAGATACAAAAAACACCGCAGAGTATTTGGATGCCGTACAGACCACGAGATGTTGCCATGCCTGTTCCTCGACCTGGATCGGTTAGCTAAACCTATTGATATTTAAATTTATTTCTAGAAATGAAATTCAATGAAATTTATTTATTTTTTTTTATTGAAAACCAGCCAAGTAGGGCGCAAACGCCATGTGCTTGTATTAATAACAACAGTTAAAATAACAAATAAGAATTAATGACAAAAAAAAAAAATAATAATAAAATAAAATAAAATTAACAATTTAAAGATGAAAGAAAGAGGAAATTACACAATAATATAATATAGTACAATTCGAAATAACTATAATCGGGTGGTAAAAATCGAGATTTCACACTTCTTGTATGATGTGAACTTTTTAAATAATATCATAAATGATATATGATATTATTTAAATGATATTGATATTAAATGATATTATCTAATCTTTTTTTAATGATTACTAAAAATGACACTCAAACTATATCGTTCATTTATTTATTCCAGTAATTAATAGTACGAATAAAGAAGTCATGAATCCTTAGTTTAGTTTTACACATAGATTCTAGTAATTTTAGCCTAAAATTATAATATAATTTGGACATATAACCATACAGAATAAATATAAATTATAAGTATAAATTAAATCTTGTTTAATAGGACGAACTGAAAGAGAATCCAGGTTATTGCAGAAGTTTTCTCTTATAATTAAAATTGCGATTAGGAGAGAAACATCATATAAAATATTTTTGGAATTCTTCAATTATTTTACTTGATTTACGATATCTTGTGAAATAAGATGTAGTACTGTATTCAAAAAGTGGTCGAAACATTTTGATAAGAAAACCTTCAGTTTTGTTTTTAAACGGACGAAAAATAAAATTTAATGTCTTTGAGGATTTCTTTAATATGGTTCTGCAGTGAAGGTCGAAATCGAGATTTTCATCCACGATTATACCAAGATCGAAAATGTGCGAGACTCTACTGATTATATTACCATTAATAAAAAGATTAGGAAAATCGAAACTTTTAGAATTAATATGAAGAACGCTATACTTTTGAAAAGAAAGGGTAATATGCCTGTCATATAGCCAGCTGGCTATTTTGTTCAGGTCCTCCTGCAGTGGAGATAGGTTATCTGATCTACCATGAGAATAATAAATTTTACAATCACCAGCATAAAGATAAATAATAAAATTTAGTACCACATTTAGTACCACATGGTGATATCATTTATATATAATAGAAAAAGCAATGGCGCAATACAACTACCTTGGGAAACCAGATTTAGCAGGTATTCTGTCAGAAATGAAGCTTATAGAATTAAAAAAACTTTTTTGAATAATTCGAGATCATCCCCATCATAAAAGGTAAGAAAAGTAAATTAATTAAGAGATTTTGCAGAAAAGAGTTTTTGTTTTATTGCACCAATTCTTATTTTATTTCAGTGTACAACAGACTCTTCAAAACTCTCCGAAACTATTGTCACTTTCATCACAAAAAATCCTTTGATGCATGAAACGGTAATAGCTGTTGGGCATAAACCCTTACTTGTACAGGGACCAGATCGCGCTGAATTCACTCAAATCTCTGTTGTACCTCAGGTAGAACTGATAAAACTATATCTCAGCCATCCAGATGATTGCATTTTTCCTCATCATCTGATATTTATTTTAAAATGATTTTAAAGGTCTCATCAGTTCGTGGCTTTAAGCACAATGCGCTTTATCTTGGCACATCTGATGGGCGAATACTCAAATTCTATGATCCAGGAGATGGTAAAACGGCTTTAGTGGAAACTGTTCGTATTTTTGCCCGAAATGTACCCATCGTAAATCTATTAGCAACAACAAATCAAGTTTGTTGTTTCAAAATTTTTAGCCATTTTAATCTTCGAGATCTTATAAATAAAAAAATCATATTATTTGCTAATTAATTATTTGAAGTAATGAAATGAGTATCGTTGATTGACTGAAGCTTTTTCTCGATATACATATCCAATTCTTTGCGTTGTCCTGCAAGATTAATTGTTTAATTGTAGGTCGTGAAAGGCTGTTAAGAAAGGCTGCTTTAGTAAAGAAAATAGCAGATAGATATTGGAATATAATTCCCGCGTTGAGACCTTATAAATGTACTAAATCTCATTAATTTTTTCTTAATAATAATAGCACACGAGCCCTATCTTCGATCAGAATGACTAAAATATATTGGAGGGCGAGAAATGTTCTCAAATGGAAATGGTCATATTCGAATATTAAGTTTTGAATTTTGTAATTAATTAGAAATTTATTAGTTTGATGGATGAAAGTCACATTCAAATTTGATCTTCATAACCGACCTGCTTAATTCATAACCAGCGATATTTCTGACATTTATGAAGCTATGTCTTTAGCTGTGGATTGAGTGGAGAGGAAAAAATGTAAAGGATGTGTCTTTGCTTGCAATATAATATCACGAAATTTGTTTGATGCCTTCTGTAGATTCTACCTGCCCTAAGAAGTAGAATTTTGTGAGATCCTACTAAAATTTTCACATTAAGAAATTTGTTTTTCTTTATTAAAATCTATATTTTAGCTTCATCTATTCAAGTTTTAGCCATCTTAGCCTCTGAACTAATTGTCTAATTATATTGTTTCCACTCCTCAACACAAGGTATATCATCGGAAATTTTTATTTTCAGATAATTGTTGTCACAAGCGATGAAGTTGCGGCTATTTCACTTTATCACTGTGATGAGCAAAAGACTTGCAGCGGATGTGTACATTTGCAAGATGCACATTGCGCATGGGATTTAGATTCAGCACACTGTGTTGGTAGATCTGATGGCAAATGGACAAGTGGCAATTTCGTGCAAAATGTGAACCTTGGGCGATCTGAACAATGCCCCGAAGGTGCTATCGATCCCGACTATTACGCAATTGATGGTACCAACTCTTCTTTCGAATTTTGACAATACATTTCTAAAAGACCGATTAATTTTTACGATAAGTTCCGAGCAATCCGATTGAAAAATTTCTCCATTGGGAGAAAGAATAACATTAGAAATCATTTAATGCACCTGATTAAAGCTTTGTTAATTAATTTTTTTATGTTACTGTTTATGCTGTCAAATGACACATATATACTGAAAATACTATTTCCACTATTTTCCACTATTTATTTCTACAATTCATTTAAGTAAGTGTTTTCAAAATACTTTAATTATTAATGCTAACGGACTTTATAGAATTGCAATCCGATCGCGTCAGCCAGTGGGACTATCAACAAAGTTCAGTGAGCGTACAAGCCTTACTTATTGGTGTCATCATTGCAGTGACTATCGCTTCTGCTGGAGGTTTCTTTGTAGGATATCGAATATCTGGATGGCGTTCGCTCCATGATCCTCGGCATTCATCTGGTTCTTCCTCTGGTTTGTATTTCATTCTGGATTTTTCTTTATGATTTCTTTGATTTGAACAAATGCAGTCACAATCTTTCTTCCAGATATTAAAAAAATAGAAAATTGAAAGGATAAAGACATTTTTAAAAAAAGGTACTTTGGTTGTTTACTTGCATTTTCCATTTCAGGAAGTGATTATGATTCGTATGCAAAAGCGCGTTTAACCAGGCACGATTCGTTATTGGCAAATAAAATGGAGCACATCTATGGAATGGCACCAACAAAAGATACCGTCTCACTAGTGCTGTCAATGCCACAGAATGGCACTACAGCTATGAATTCAATTAGCAATGGTGGCTCGGGTAATATTACTCCAAAGATATGCCCAGAAAGAACAGTTTTTGCATCTTTAAGCCATACAACTTTGCCAAGAGATTATAAAGTTAAGAAAGTTTATTTATAGCCCACATCTTGAAAGAATTATCTTTTTTATCTTTTAATTATCTTTTCTTATCTAAGAACAATTAGAATCGACTAGAACTATTCGAATATTTTATATCGTGGAAATTGCTTGGATTTACTTTTTTTCTTAAAGTGTTGGAGATATGTCCTAAAATTCTTTTTCCGCGAGATTTGTCTAAATAGGAATCAACACATGTTTTATTGTTGCCTTAAGTTTTTTCGATAGTTTTAAAATATGGAATACGAGGTATGCTGAATTTTCTTATTTCATAATAAATTTATCTTATTTTGTTAAATAATTGAATCATAAAGAGGATTAGAAGATTTAATTTTAACATGGAAGGTTTCTTAAGATTTTATCTCGGAAAATTTGGAAATTTACAGTGCCGATCGCTACTCGCTATGCTTCTTTCTTTAAAATTCTTGAAAATTCTCCTGTTTTTTTTTATCTATTCACTTAAATTATGTCTATGTCCAGCTCATTTGAAATGAGCTATTTAATTTTAAAACAATTGATCTCTCTTTCTTCTTCTATGTCCAGCTCTTTTGTTTTTTGTTTTTGTCATTTTTTTAATGCAAATCAAAATTTAAATGTATATTGAGAATATTGAAGCAAAATTTTTGGCAAGATTTTAGGCTTGGAACATTCTTCAAATGACTAATTTAAATGACAATAATTAATCAAAATTTGCTGATCTTGCAGCTGCCAATCTTTTTCGACTTACCGTTGCACTAAGAATTTTCATTTCGCTTGCAAGATAATTAATTTTTGTAATTAGTTAATGCGTATCTGTTGTTTTAAAATATGGCAATACTCTTGAAACAATATGTCGTATTGTCATATGTCGTATTTTTAGTTTATTTACGGGTGTTCGACATTTTAATGTTTTATATATAAGTAATATTTAAACGATATATATAGCATTTTACTCCTAATCGCACTTTTATTTCAGTTCTTTTCTTCAGTTATTTTCGATTTACTTATTTTTTTTTTTGTATTTTGGGAACGATAGGAAGTGAGGCAGCTAATCTATTGCTAGAGCAATTTTTGTTTTGATGCATATATACATCTATTAGAAATATTATTGTGAATATTTTTTATTATACATAATGAAATAAAAATTGGAACCATGTATATATATATATATCACAAATGATTGAATGACTAGTTTATTTTTGGTTAGGCGTTCTAGTTCCTAGTAAGATGAGGGCATTTTTATGGAGGCCACTTAGAGATAGAAGCACAAGTAGGTACTCAAAGCCATCTCAAAGCGATTTTTTAATGATAGATGGTTTTGTACCTGAAGCAGGGACAGAACCGTTTCGTTTATATAAAATTATCTACATTTCAAAGCTTTCGCATTCACTGTACAGTTAATGATTCATTTAAGTAAAGTATTTGGTGAAACTTTTAAAGTATTTTCATATGGAATATTTGGTAACAATGGCGACCATCGACCATTTTTGAGATATCGCTGAAATTACCATGTACTAATTGTCGTGTAAGGGCGAAAGCAAAAATTTGTTGAACTGTTCCTTTGAATCCACATTCCAATTTTACCCCATAGTCTTTTTATTTTTGCCTTTTCACGATATCGATTGATTTTTTTAACATCAAGTCGTTTTCGGCTCCTAGTGACCATATAGGCACGTCGGTGGCTCGATAGCAGGATAAAATCCGCTAATGCACCACTCTTTGTCGGATGGTAAAGTCGCCTAACGGAGAAATGGAGAACCGAATGGAATGGCTTAACGGGTTGTTGTTCAACTCCAAGCGCCGATGCTGAGATTCCGATGGCGATAGGAGTAAACCTATCTAAAAGTCCGGGTGATACTGGCGACTTCTACTATTGCCTGATTCCCTGGTATATTTATCTAGACAATCCAGTAAAGTCTAAGTAATAACGGTGAGTATTCTTAAAAAAATGTCGTTTTCGACTTCTAATAACCATTTAGACAGATTTCAAGACAATCTATCTTTAACTTTCAAGTTTATCAAAGATGCTCTCATCGTCTCTGTAACTGAACCCTATCCAGTTTTTTGGTTGTCCTTTCCGAGTATTATTTGAGAAATCTGGATCCTCATATGTATGTAAAATACATGAACTCATGAAAAAAATGTCATCAATGTTGAAACCGCTAATTCATAGGAAAAGGGAAAAAATAACTTATATAAAATCGAAAAAGTTTTTCTTTGTGATAAAACAAGTTGAGAAGCCAATTAATGAAAATGCCGCTGATAACAAAATGATGGTCCCTTCGTATGTTCTTATTTACATCCTCGTTTAGCATTACAAAATCGCTAAGAAAAATCCTACAAGAATAAATGGACACGTAACCAATCGGATAAAAAAGTTGAAATCGTCTTCAAAAATAACTGAAATGATACCGAAATACAACGATTTGAAGCAATGAAAGCTACGAAGCGGTCATTCGATTCCGTTTTTACTCAAATAGCGGTTAAAATTAAAATTGTCGCTTTCATTATTTTAAATATTCATTAGCCATTATTTGCATTTATTTTCGCAGTACGATTAAACCAACAAAAATTTGCCAGATTTACCAAAATTATTTATTTCAGGTTTGCTTGTAAATTCAAAACTTGTAAATTGATAATTCAAATCTAAATTTTTAGTGGTTTTATAATGAAATTAATGCAAAAGTTAGGGACTGAAAAGCCGAGCAGATAGAGGCTCACATTATCGCGTAGCATTCGTGATTCCGCTAGGCGCATCATTAAAAATTTAGGTGGTACTGGCAACTCACCTATTCTCGAAAAATGCGACTCCCTAGCAAGAGATTCTAACCGTATTAACGGAACAAACCGAGACAAAAATGGGAGCGCCTACTACTTATTTTAAATATAAAATAAAAACAAAAAAATTAGAAATACTACAAATCAATCTTAAAAGAAGTTGAAAGTCGATTGAAAATTTATTCAAACAGTTCGAAAAAAATGCGTGCAAAATAATAAATTCGATATTTGCTGCAAAAAATTGGCCATAAATTCGTAGACAATTACGATTTTTGTGTTCAACAATTTATTGAAAAATAAAAAATTATGAAATGAAACGAGAAATATGGTTTGTGACATTTTATGTATTTACTTACGCATGTGCATTTATTCATGTGCCTGTCATCTGTAAATATGCTGCGAAAAATTCAAAAGTTGTAAAAGAAGGGTGTGCCGAGTTACAGCTTGCGTACTTAATTATCGTCGGCATGTTGTCAATAAGGATAATTTGAAGCAAAAGATCGGTAACAATAATCTTTTTGCTCTATGTTTTTGCTTTATGCTTTGCTTTTGCCTTTTGTTGACTGAAGTGGAAATAATTTATATATAAAAATGAATTGATGTATAATAAAACATTAAATCCAATGTATTTCTTATATAACTAAACTAAATGCATTAAGATCATCTATGAAAGTGCAGTCCGAGGATCTCTTTGGAGTCCGCAATACCTGTCGAAGACAAAGAGCCACACATACAAACTCTTTCGAATCCCTTACTAATTTTCTTTAAAAAGACCTAATAACAGCTTAGAAACCACTGAATTAGAATGAGTTGTACTAAAACAGAAGTAATTTGCCATGATATCTGCATTTTTTTCTTCGCTTGCTTCCATAACTCGTTTTATGATAATCGAAAAAAATTAAATTTTTTATGGAAAATTCGAATTCTCTATAATATTAATAAATAGTCGAATGCATCAGAATGAGCAAGAAAATGTATAAGATTAGCAATCGAAGAGCAAACAAAAAATAAATGATAATCGGCTTAAGCAAACAATTTCGGTTCGTTTCACTTTGACATAATATTGCAAAATTAAAGAAGAGTTGAATGATGGAGAACGAGGGATCGCATTAATTAAATACTAATTTATCGAAAATTCTAAGAATTGATCTAAATACATATCGATATTGTGCTTTTTGTATGTCAGATCTTTTCAGTTCTTAATCACACATTTTCAACCACTCTGGGTCACAAGTCCATTGCTTCAAGTATCAGAAATTCAATTCTCTGATAGAGTGAATCTATCATTTTCGGCAATAGTTCCAAGATGATTAATTAAAGCTTAAAATTGGATTTGGTTTAAATTCGGGTTAAATTTTAAACTACAAAACTATTTAAACTGAATAAAAATTTAAGCGTCAGCTTTGAAGTCATCCTAATTGAATGTAATTAGAATATAATAAAATCTTTTGAAAAAGCTAAACAATAATCAAGCACTCGGTTCGCTATCAATCAGAAATATGGAGATGAAAGGTTTTTCGGCATAAATTCCTTGAATCTTGCAATGACAACTTGAAAAAAAAAACGTTGAATTTTAATAGCTGTGCAAATTTATGCAAATATGCAATAATATTTTGAAATATCATCAAAAAATAAATATTTTAAAGAGAAATAATTTCAAATATGTTTTGGATTTACATTAACATTTTCGAACAGCCTTAAGTTATCCTTTCCTGAATTCCATATATTAATCAAAAAAATAGACCCTTGACTCTATAAATGAAAGAAAAGAAAAGTATATCTCTATCATAATATTTGATGAACAGGATAGCCGAGGGGTTTTATAGCGTTAAAAGGCAGCAGTTTGGCGGTGCTGTCGAGGACCCACTGATATTTTTATTCGCAAGTGACTCAGAAATTTTTAACCATATTAACAATCAAATGCTCTTCTCTTCTAACCAAAATTGATAATAATTTGCTTTTTACATATCAAATAATTGACGGAATCAGGATGAAAGAATGATGAAATGGGAATATCCTCATTTTTTTCCATATTTTTTCTCTTCAACACCTTCAGTATTTAATGTCCGAGGTCATCCATCTCTATTCTCGCATCCAAAAAATTATGAAAAACTTGTTCATATCACTTTCATTCCGTTAGCACCATGCTTATGTGACAAGTTTCTTCTTCATAGCGACACCAAGTTTGTTGCTCATAAACTGGGTTTTTCGCTTTATTTTGGTGCGAATACATATTGATGCAATTAAAACTAAATTATGAACCAATGTTTTCATCGGGATCTAGAAACCGACTTTTCCCGTACCATTTGAGTCACATAGGTATGATGTCAACCTTTATCCATTATTCAGTAGCAACACGATATAAGTGAAATAAGTACCTTTGTCTATCTCGGTGGTTCTCCGTCCATTTTACCTCATGGCTATTCTTGCTGCGTGGCATTCTGGAGACCAAATGGCCACAGCTTCCTGAAGGTCATATAGCTCCTAATGAGGACCACTATTTTGCAAATATATTTTTCGAAATATCGTCTAATTCCATATTAAAGAAACTCGTGCTAATGACAGAAAAAAACAAGCAAAGCAAAGGTATCAATCAAGAAATAAACATATGATAGACCGATCTTAGTTAATAAATGGTTAGCGCTCACCATTTCTGGTTATGCTAGTCCTGCTGATGGCCAGAAACTTTTGCCTGGAGGCTGCCTAGCTAGAAGTATATGTATGCAGTCGATGCGTATAGCTTTTTCGCGTTTTTTAGTAGAAAGTTTTGTCCCATCACAGCCAGAACCAGAATCGAACCTCGAATCGAACCAACACAAATTGAAGCAACCACATATTTCGACTTCTTTAGATAAGATGACAGGATTTTAATCAATTCAGAAATATTCATAAAAACTACCAAAAAATATTTTTCATGTGATTCGCTTACAACAATTCGTGTTCAAATGAAAAAAGAATATTTTTTGATGCAAATAAAATAAAGGGAATTTTCTCAACATAAAGAAATAAGTAATGGCGCCGGTAATTTTCGAAGAGATCGCATCAGAAAAAGATTTAAAAAATTTTATCGAACAAATAAAATAAAAGAAATTATTTCCTAATTATACCAATAAAATTTTTTCTGTCACCATTTGTGGTCGAATTATAAATTCTTACAACATTTTATGATGAGGCAACTTTTGTGCCATAATGGTTAAGCTTACGCTAAAAAGTTCGTGATCGAAGCGTAAAACATCACTGGTGCTGAGAATCCATGTTTCCGTGCGCCATATTTCTGTAACGAAGTGAATAACTAGTAAAGAGAGCAGTCAATGGAGATAAACAAATCAGAAATAGTGCGATGTTAGAAGACGCTTACCTACCAATAACCACTTGCTTTAAACTTGAATTCATGATAAAATTCCAATTTCAGACCATACATTGCTGAAAAACTTGGCTAATCAATGGCCACAATCCTCAATTTAAAAAAGTTTCTCTTATTGAATATTCTCAATAAATTTCTTTTATTCATAAATTAAACTATGTTGTTTAGAATAACTTAGACGATTTGTGGGTCTACACAAATCTGAAAAATTAAGAATTTCCTTTTCTAATATCCCAAATTCGTGACTTGCGATTTACGAGTTGGATTTAGTTGCAAGCAATAATTCCGTTCAAATTAAGTTTATACAAGAAATATATCGATGCATTTTACAAAAACTAAATTGAGTGCAAGTTAAAAGCATAAATTTCCAATTCGTTCTGGTCATCAGTGAATTCCACTTACCAGTTTGCATGAAAAATAAATTTACTAAGTTAACTGCCGTCTTTCAAAATGAATGATGTCACCGCTATCGTATTTCTATCAACGTCGTGCCGGAAATTTTTGGAGACACCTATCAATCAACCTGTCCAATTTTATTTTACCGGAAACCTTATCGTACTGACCTTATCTCATAAACCAGTTAATTTTATGAAAACCATCAATTTCCAAGTTTAAAAAAACAATTTTAATAGCGTGCCATAAATTCTCTCGTTCATCTATCGAAAATACATTCAGTGCAAAACTTAAAAACAATCTTTTTGACAGCTTAAAATTTTCATAAACTTTTTCCGAGCATCTAAGCTTATTGACTCAATAAAATTATGATTGTTACGTGTAAACTTAAATCTTTTAAAACTAAATTCTATGTTTATTTATGTGTTCCAGTATGCGCTCCATTATACTAAAAGTTAGATAAATGGCACAGAAATCTATTTTAACTTATCAAACTCGAAGGTAACTTGTGCAATATTTTAAGGAATGTTATTTTCTTTGATTTTAAATAAAATAAAATTCAATAGATTTCGAAAGGCAATAAAATCAAATGGATCCCGTAACGCATTGTTTATTTTGCTATTTCAAGGAATATATAATGAAGCCAGAAAGTGATTGCTGAAGAACGATGTTTAAAACTAAATTTTAAAAAAATTCTTTAACAGATAAAAACAGTTATCATTAGAGGATATTTTCGTTTAGTGAAGAAATGCAAATAAGATGTTAAATAAATCACAAAATTACCCTTTGATTCTTAAACAATTGAAACTTATTTAAGGTTATAGACTGCAGAAATCTTTGCATTATTTATCAAAAAGAACAGAAATATTATTTTTAGAATATTATTTTTCGTGTGGTGCAGAACAAGATCCAACTTCTGAATTAGATCGGTAATGTATTGTACATAAATGCCTCAGTGTCGGACGACCATGTGGGCAATTCTGCAAAGAAATCAACAAAGCAAGATTATAATTTTTGCACCTCTAATTTCCAATTTTATAATATAAAAGAGAACGTACCCAAGGCTGATCCAGTCGACCAAGATGACGAATAATCTAAACAGAATATTTACTCTAATGATTGTAAACTATATGCACATGTATAACATATTTCTCGTTAGCATTAACCAAATATCAAGAGACGTTGAAGAAGAGACTTCACTAAAATGGCTTACAAAAAAATTTGAGACTAAAGGCTTGTCATTAGCCTACCAAATCAAATAGAACCAAAAAGTGCCATTTCATTTCCCAAGTAGTTCCAAAAGTAATCGAAATAAGATGGGATGGGTGGAAACAAATTTTTTAAAATTCTCTTCACAACCAATGCGCCAAAGAATGATGAATAATGAAAATTCAAAATATCTTATTTATATCTTATTTTAAAAAATGGCATTAAATCTTCTTTAAAATCTGAGAAATGAAACTAAAATCGATCTTTTTTTTAAAATTTCAAAATTTCGCTAAGAATTAAAATTGATGGATTTAATAAATTGGTTTGACTACCACTGTGTAAAAACGGAAGAGCATAAACAGAAACTTTCTCCATTTGGGAAGTGTTAAGTGCAGTTCCTATCATTATCGATTTTCTACAAGCACGCGAAGCAAATAATCGTCGAAGTTTTACTGGTCTGTACATAATTCCAGGAAATTCACTAAGCACTGCTAACATTTCATCAATATCTGTAATAAAATATATTTGAAATCATGAACAGACAAGTTAGAAAGGCAGAAAAATAAGAAAGAAATAAAACATGGTGAAAATAAACGAGCAGTACATAATTTTAAACTTTTTTTGGAAATCATTTTATTGAACCATTTGATTGCTTAATTAATCATTTAATTTTTGCCATCATCTGTTATAGGGAAACTAGAAAAAGAACATTTCTGAAAATTTCTATCACAGATAGGTGTTGAACAAATTGGCAAATACAAAATTATAGAAAAGAAAATCTTATTACTAATATTTCATATCTTGCAATGGAAGTAAAAAAATCGCTAAAAACAGTTTTAGAATATCGGAAATATCTGATAATCTTAAATGACAATGGAAAATTAATAAATGTAAACAAATAAATCAAATATAAAACAAACCGGAAGTATTAAACTGCCAATTATGTAAAACTGGTACAGAAATGAGCATTGCGCGTTGACCAGCAGGGACTGTAAATAAACAAATAACATCCATTAAATGCTTATAAGCGAAAGGATCATCATCACTTTATATTACCATTGTATTCAAGTGCTTGTTATTGTTATTAATAACCTGCACATATATGAACGAAATTATCCACTTAAAGAAATAAATTCTATCTAGTCAAATGAAATACTCTACATTTATCATTGAAACTGAAATTGAATCCATTATAATTGAAAATTTCCATATTATCGCGCAAGACAGATTCCCTTACGGATCCAATATCTAGCGTTTGCGGACTGAAAATGATAAAAGGATTCGCAAATATGCCCACTTTAAATTAATGGCTTTAAAATGGCTTTATAAGATGGCTTTATGGTAGAAAATATCAGTTAACAAACATCATTAGAAAACAAACATTGGTTAATTTACATTAAAAAAACCTTATCAGTCGTTGTGTTTGTATCTTTGCCCTTTTCTGAAATCGCTCGAAATTATAAATTTCATCACTGGCATGTTGATCTACGATAAAAAGCTCATCACGAAGCCGAACAATAATGAAACCTTTATTAAACTGACCAATTATCTCCATTAATCCAAAATCATTTTTCCTAAATAAAAATATACACATATTTCATTGAATTTCACTGAAGAAATTGAAAATTAGAAGACAAGTCTATCAATAATTTTTTGTAGGCCAAAAAATTGGATTTAAAAAACAGGTAAGAGAGACAAAGAAGATAAAAAGAAAAAAGAGAAAGAAAAAATAAGAGAAAAAACAGAAAACCTACGACATGTGCGATACGATTTTAGCGTCAGATGATCCATCGACACAAAAAGCAGCTTTCTGATTAACGGTGCACTTGTTTTCATCCAAGTAATCTTCTTTCATGCTAATCTCATTCTTTCGCTAAAAAAAGAATCATTCAATCATTTTCTCTATTATATATATACAAAAGAGCGAAAATGACTGCAAATAAACAAGTGATATGTTTTAAGAAATTGAATTTTTTCATTTTTATTTTTGCTAATAAATGATGCATGAATAATGGATGATCTCAGTTTTTCAAAAATTTACCTATCATTTCCGTCTTTCACTGTGATGTTTTGCAGCTTTTTTATTTTAGACAAAAGCATCATTAAATTAACAAATATTAAGATAGAAAATAAAAGGCGAACATCTATTGGGCACCTTTTGCAATCTCTTTCGTAAAAATGACATCGAAAACTTCAAAGATTGCTGAGTGCGGGTATATCTTCTAACATCATCGTTTAAATCAAAAGAACTATCCGAGATCTACAAAAATATATATATAAATATATCAAAATTTCGAAAAAAGTACCAGATGATAACTGCAGAATTTATTGAACTTATAACAAATCGACTTATATCTTTTTTGGTTTCAAATAAAAAATCGAAATATAAAATAAGACATAATGAATAAGAATGTGCAAATAAACCCCTTTATTAGTACAAGTCAAGACAGAGTTCATATTGAGATGATCATCTTTTCTTAAATCATTTTCATCATCATCTTCATCAAAGATAACAGCTGAATCGATATCGAGAGCCGCTGGCAAATTTATTAAATCCGATTTTGATGTCATCTGTGTTATTGAAGGTGCCAAGGACTGACTATTGTTATCTTCTTGTTTGCAATTTTCTGCCTCGTTTGCAGATGAATTGTCTTCGAATGGATCAATTTCCATCGATTTATTTAAAGAATGTGGGATTACATGAAAAGAAAAATTTTCAAGAATTTGCTTTGCCATGAATCGTTTGGGAATAGTTGGACCGTTATTTGCATCACATAAACTTTCATTTCCAACTCGTTTTGTAGATCTCTGTTGTTCTAAACGAATCATAAATTAATATTGGTACAAAAATCATGATTCAGAGTTTAATTTATTAATTCGATGATGATAAATTAGAAATAAAGGGCAAAGAACCTGAAGACTCAAGACGAATTGCGGGTGGTCTCGAAGATTCTTTATCTTTGAAACCACGATTTTTTGAGGTTTTCATAAAATTTCTATGAGAAAGATCTAGTTGTCCCGTGGTACCAGCATAGTCAGATTCCTTAGAAATATTATGCAAAGCATAATCAGTAGAAATATCTAAATCTACAAAATAAATTGCATTACTGAAAATAAAAATTTACTTAAATTTAAATCAATTCAATATTCAATTTAGAACCAGTAGGTGCATTTGTTTTCTGAAAATTTAAGACGCGATGTCTAGATATGCTATTTCTAAACATCTGAACGTGATGAAAAAAGTTTAAGCACTACATAAATGATATAAGAATTTTATAAAAAAGGTATCACTTGAATTTTCACTCTGATAATTTTTTGAGCGATCATTTAACGATTGGGTGCACCCTAGAACAGGTTCAAATGTTGCAAGTAACGAAGAACGAAGAAGAGCAAAAAGTTCTTTCTCATATTCGAAGAATACTGAGCGTTTATCGGGAGATATATTGACATCAAGATATTCTACAAAATGTTCCTAATTGTTTACTGTGTAAATTTATCATTTTAAAGAGCAGTTAGAGCACAGTCCAGCAATTATCGATAATTGATAATTAATTATAAAAATACTTTTTTCATATTTTGTTTGGCTTAGTAGGTTGTTGCTCAATTCGGAGCGCCGATACTAAGGTTCTATTCTCCGCAGGAATAAACCTGTCCAAAAATCCAGGTGATGGTGGCGAATCACCTGTATTTCTATCGCCAAGGGATATCTCTGGCATATTTGTTCAATACGACAAGCCAGTGGAGCGAGTTTAACCAGTAACGGTAAAAACTTTTGAAAAAAAACAATTAGAAGCAGCAAAACAATTGGAAATTATACGAAATAAATTCTCGTATAAATTAGGTTAAAAAAAACTAACACCAATCACATTTAAAAAAGAACGCTCGGAGATAAAAATTAACCTGGAGGCACTTCAATAAACAAAATAAATATGCAGTATTGTCCTTGATTATATGTTTGATAAACTTCATTTGCTATTTTGCACAGCTGAAAAATTATAACATTCCACTTTGTTACGGTAGAAAATGATATTTATTTTGTTTCAGCTCAAAAATTTTCTAAAATAACCAATACCTTTGGATAATCGACAGGCCGCTTGTTAAAATAAACAAACTGACGATCAGTGCTGCTTCTTCCTTGTCCATGCATACAAGAACTAATAAATCCATGAATCCTTCAATATAAATGAGAGAGAGATTCAATATGCCCCCTTCATAACAAAAAGATTTTCAGAAAGTTAAAAAAATCTTAAAAATATATAAAAAACATTCAAACAAACATTCATTACAAACATATATATACCACAGGAGGAATCAGCTACATATATATATATATATATATGTATACCACAGGAGGAATCAGCTACCATCACAGCTGCTGACATCCAACATCGACTTAAAAATGTGGAAATTTGGATAACACCTCCATCTCGTCTGGACATAATTCATACCAACTGGCTAAAGAATCTAACAGAAGTTAATGAGCACCAAACGACACATATGAATCAACTGCTTGTAGCAGATTTTCACCCAGCTGCAGACTGGTTAACACAAGGAAGGACGGTATTGATCATAAAATACCCTCACAAAAACACATTGGGAACAATACCAGAGGCTCCGAACACCAGCTGTTCATATATAAGGCAGTCGCTCTAAACTCAAAATAACGGTAGACCAATCTGTGTCAGAGCTTGGATTGACTATAGTAAAACCTATGACTCAATATCCCACACATGGACCTGTGAATGTCTGGCTCTACACAAAGTCAACAAGATCCTAAAGACGTTCAAGACGAACTTAATGGGACTGTGGAAAACGATATCTGAAGTCAACTCGAAACAGTTTGCACAAACAGCTATCAAATATGGCATATACCACGGCGATATATTGTCGCCTTTATTCTTAATAGACCCTCTGAGTCAAATAATCACCAGAAGCGAATATAGAGACAACTTCAAGGTGGGAACTACCATAAGCCATGGATGACATCAAGTTATATACTAAAATTGAATGAGGCATTGACTCGCTCATTCATCTAATTCTACAGTGACGACAGGGATGTCATTCCGATAAAAGAAATGTACCCGGATGGTAGTAAAGGGAGGAAAAATAGTGATGACTAATGGAATTGCCATGAGAACATACAGGGGACATATAGGCTAGTTACAAGTATTAGTACCCTACTGTAGCATGGTAATGCATAGCTACGATAAGGAGGCAAGGAAGATTGCAACATCTAAGTATCACCAAAGAACAAGAAATCTCGAAGAAGCTGAATGGGAAGAACAAAATATGCCATGAATATGTATGTTCTGCCAGTAATCAGATACGCACCTGGCATCATAAGATGGACAAAGAAAAATGTAGAGGCTCCTGATGTAAAGACCAAGAAATTTCTCATAATACAAGGAAACCCCAAATTTAACATTTAAAAACGCCGGAAAGAAGACAGGAAACTATCTTATGTTAGCAAGATGGCATCAAATGATAAGCTGCTGAGAGAATGCATGGAAACTGGAAAACGATCAAGCAGAGAAAATACTATGGCAAAGCAAAACCCTCCATGGCATGTACCATCGACAAACAGCTGAGGTAGCTAATATTGAGAAATCCTATCAGTGGCTGGAGAAATTCGAACTAAAAAGCAAAACATAGAACAAGAGAGAAGCAACCACTAAGCACCAGATCCATCGAAACAAGGATTTACCACATAAAGTGCCCCAGAAACAGTCCAACTTATAATGGCAAGACATAAAAATGCAAGCGGGAACAACATATACTAAAAGGCATAACCAAGTAGTTGGCATTATCTGCTCTGTACAGCTTAGACCATCTCGGATTAAATGGGAAATTCCTCAGAAAATCGTTGAAAATAATAAGGCGAAGATTCTGTGGAAATTTTCTCCAGATATCGTGGTAATAGACAAGAATCAGAAATGAGCACTGGTGATAATATAGCAGCAATACTGTGTGACCAACGTTAGGAAGAAGAAATATTAGAAAAATGTCACGGACTGAAAGAGGAACTAGAGAAGACGTCAAAAGTGAAGGTAATCCCAGTGATAATTGGAGCACTTGGAATTAAACTGGAAAAGGAGCTTCAGCATTTCAGATTCCAGGAAAAACATCAGAGATCTCTATCAGAGAATGCGTTAGGGACAGCTAAGGACAGCTAAGACTGCACTTAATTTTTCAAGCCTCAGGTAGAAAACTCGAGGCTAAGGATGATCTTTATCACCCATAAAGGGAAAAAAGTTTACATATATATATATATATATATAATGAATGCATGTTTTATAAATTTATGTAACAAAAAAGAAAAGCACTTGATAATATCGATGGTATGACATTGCTTCTCAGAAACACCATATAAAGAAAAGATGGATTCATCTGGTACACGCCGAACTATTTCTAGAAGTGAACTTTTGTTCACTCGAACTCCGAACATACTTATCATCACATCAGTAATCGATGCTTTTTCACCAGGAGTCACTAGTATTTGAAAGTGTTTCCTCAAATGTTATAATTATTAAAAAGGCTTTGCAATTTATGAAAAAGTTCCTGAATTTTCAATATTGTATGGTGGCCAAAGGGATGTTCAAGAGTTCATAGGCTAAATGAAAGCAAGTAATTCTATGTTTTTAGCAAATAACTGAAGATGAACAGAAAAATTTATACTATGTATATATAAACAACATAACTAAAAGGTATCGTATCAACGTGGAGATTTATCTTTACGAAAGACCAGAATTCAAATCCTACTTCGTCTCCAGTATCAATAACTCATATATCATCACCAAATTCCTAGCTAGTTCCGTAAAATATTCGAGGAGCTCCAGAAAATTTACTGGTTATCACTTTCTCCAACCTACGTTTCGCGAACTCCAAATTTGCGATAATACTACAGATATTAAAGTTAGCTAAAGTTGATGTAGTTAAAAAGTATGGAAAATCTTAAAGCAAGGATTTAGGATCTAAAGTAAAGATTTTTCTGACAATTTTTAAAACAACCAACCCATTATTATCGTTATTAACTAAGAAGCGTACATCATTTCTACACAGCGCAAATGACTGAATAGCGTATAAAAGCTTGGTGAACTCCTTTTTGCCTGAACGTTCTAGTTCTTTTCTTCTCACCGGCAAGGTTTCAAACAAATTATTGATGATGACCGTAGTACCGATCTTGAAAAAAAATTGTCCGCAAAAGATGAATTTTAAATTCCCACTTTTATTTTATTTCGTAAAAAATATGGAAAAAAACTACCGATCTGGCGCAAATTTCTTTATTTCTTATGCACCCATTATGCTCGAAAACTAATTTTGTGCCAACTTTTTCTAGAGCATGTCGTGTAATGATTATAACAGAACTAAAAGATGAAACTGAAAAAATAAATAAAGGTAATGAATTACTAAAAATTCCCATCTTTAAACTTGAAAAGAAGATTAAAAATGATTAAATAAGCCCAAAAATTAATTAAATACCTGAGAGCACACAAAGCATTTAAAGCTTCACCGCGGAAACCAAGCGTTACAAGTCGATTAAAATCCGATAAGCTTGATAATTTTGAAGTTGCATGAGGTTTGCCTAAAGTTTCATTTATTCTTCTTATTAAGGCAACACCATTGTTTTAAAAAAATGTAAATCAAACCATATTAAACTTTATTTAGATAAAAGACAAACATAGAGAATCAAAATCGAAAGAGTGGATGCCAGATCCATTGTCAATTACTTCAAGACTTATAACTCCGAATGATTTTATCCGAATTTCTGAAAAAAAAAGCAGATTATGATAACTCTTTATTAATTCATTGATCTTAAAAACTTCCAATGTATTTCAGTTGCTTGCTTATTTATTCTCCTCTATAATATTGGAAACACCGCTTGAAAACAGATGTGACAGACAGTAAAAGAACTAATGAAAAATCGGACCTATTACTGTCGCATTCGCATCCAGTGCATTTTCAATTAGTTCTTTACAAGCTCCAGAGAGAGTTATTACGATCTGACCTGCGCAAATTCGATGTCGAACATCCGAAGAAATGATACGAATCGTCGATCTGCTTACTTCAACACACATAAAAGACGTACCTTAAGCATTAAAAAGTGTTAAATCATAATCAATGATAGCAACGAAATTAGTCCTTGCCCTCACCTTCTTCCTCTCTCACACACACAATTCTCCATTCAGACCACGCATTAGAATTCTTAAAAAATAAACGCTCATATATTTCAATTAATTTCCATTTGCGAACAAATAAATGCTAGTCGAACCTCAAATCCACTAAGTATGGAACAATTTTCATCGAAAATTTTCATTCACTATATAGGAAAAACTTCAAAATATCACCTTTTTATTTCACTATAATATAAAATAATATAAGACAAATCCTAAAATATAAAAAGCAGCATACATTTACAATATATTACAATTAAATAACAATCTCAAACGAAATTTTATTATTTATTAACGAAAATTAATTTAAAAAAGAAATGAAAATTCAAATCAAAACCAACTTTTTTTGTAAATTTTTTAATGTCTAAAACAAGAAACATAGAAAAAACAAACTAAACAATATGTATTTATATTTATATTTGCAGTTATTAGCATTCACAATTTCTCTGCAAATCATAGCACCTCATATGTCATTATATACCCACAAATTTTACAAGTTATGGAATGTTCATCTTTAGTTTTATTATGAACTGTGTCTGAAAAAACATGTTCATGCGGCTTACTGCGTTCCACTTTCACTCCTAAACCACGCACCTGTAAATAATGATATTAACGATATTCATAAACCAAAAAACTCACATTTTTTTTCATTGTTTGCTCTATAAGCGGTTACGCCGAAAAGATGCTCTACTAATCAATAAATTAATAGAAGATATTTATCATTGATCATATTAGTATTATTATTATTATATTAGTATTATCTTATAATTTTATTTATTATCTACTATTATTACGTAATATACCACTGTTATTACGTAACAGTATTATCTTCTTCTACGAATCAGAAATTTTTTCTTTAAAAATTTTGTATTTTATATTTATATTTTAATTATCTTTAAATTTCTTTTTTTTAAATTTAATTATATCTATTTTTCGTCTTTGATAGGAGTCTATCATGCCAAAAATCCAGTGGCTGATAAGGAGCCACCTATATCTTTATCCTCTAAGTGACTCTATAGTGAAAGGGTCAAGTCTTTTTGACGCGACGTCCGCGTCTTCTGATACTTCTGCCTCTGTTGTACATGAAATAAATATATGATCTGAGCATAATAATAATAATAATAAAATAATTTCAAGGTACAAAAATAGAATCTGCTCGCGAACAGAGATAATTACTCAAAAACTGTCACAGGAGTCGAGTACTTCTGTAAGCGCAGCTATATCTGCTTAGAACGTCAGGACGCTTATGTATGTTGCAAGCCAAGCGATCACTGTCTATACCCTTTCTAAATACCCGTATTTATTTCGCCTCTTGTATACTTGTTTGTCGGAGGTCGGCCTTTCTCATGTCAACTCTCCAGTAATTAAACTTGGTTCCGCGCAAAAAATATTGACTATGGGTGTCTCGGATAACTCGAGGCGAAATAGTGTAGCGGTCTGCTCGATCCGCACTGATTGAATAGAAGCCAGTATGGCCTAACTTTCAAAGGAAAGTTCTGTAATATTTGCGTCATCAATGCATATGCTCCAACTTTATGTGCAGATGACTGCAACAAGGATATAAATTCCTTGCGGAGCTTCAACAACATCTATACCGAGAAGTGATATGGTCATAATCGAGAGAGCAATTATGACGAATTCGGTAATTGGTAAATATAGCATCGGGATCCAGTGTACCAATGGAGAACGCCTTCTTCACACATTGACAGGAATTTTTTTGTTACTAATATGTTTCCGATATTGAAGAACGTACAGTTAAGCGGAACTCTCTGGATAACCACCACTCCAACCAAAGTGATCTTAATCAATCTCCACTGGTTCCGTACTGGAGTCTTTCCTACCGAAGCGTTGAAAATGGTACTACTCTTCATGGATCAGACCATGGTCGAGCTAAGATTCAAGAAACAAAGTCTCAAGATTTTTCAAGATATTTTAAAAACATTCGGGGATAGTAAGCGTTTCAAGCCAATTATTGAAATCTCTTCAGTAAACATCTTTGGAACGACGGATGAATACTGAATCCAACAAAAGGCATGATTCCGAAAATCAGTCATTTCCATACTAGGCAACAAATATATTATTTGTGAGAAAAATAAAATACCAGATAAATGAAGAAAAAAAATTGTTCCCAATTCCCAAGAAAGGTGACAGGACATATTGTGACAATTATCGAGGAATTGGCCTATTAAACATATTCAAGCGAAAATTTTCGCTTCTAATAAATAGACTTATAGCAATACGTGATAGCGCCTAAGCTGGATTTAGATTGGAAGATGGCTGACCAGAAATTCACGTTAAGATCATCGCTTTAAATATCGGCAACCCATTGTCACTTGTTTCTTTAATTTTGCAAATCGATTGATAGAGCAACGCTCTGAAAATTGATGGAATGTGGCCATATTCCAGAAAAGTCATTCATATTTTATCAGCATATCCTGGGACAGGTATTTTTACAAGTTGAACTGACCTACTTCATCAACAGGTTGCCCGTCAGGTTTGCGTCCTTTCCTCTATAATATTCAACTAACCGACAGACAGACCGGATAATGGGCATTGCTTGTTAGCACTCAAAAGGTATGCAAATCAGCCCAGAGCATAACATCACAGACCTTGAATACCTGATGATATAGTCTTTTTTATTAAGACTTATAATGAAATGCAAATAATATTTAAATAATGTGACAACAACTACAGCGAGAATTGGACTCCAAAATCAATGTAAATAAAACGAAGGTTTTCGTCTTACATACAAGATGCTGATAAAATACCTATTTTTATTCATTGCCGATTGAGGAAATGCTCGATTTTAAATATCTTGGATCCACTCTAATGCCAAATGGCCAGGCAAAGGATGAAAATATAAGCCAGATAACGACAGCTAGAAATGTGTTTTCCGGTTAATAAAATCTTTATGGAACGTCGCGAAATCACCATAAAAACGAAAATCCGCGTCCATATAGCTGTAATTTGCTCGATCTTGCTATATGGCTATGAAACATGGCCAATGAGTGTGGAAGATATTAAGAACCTATCAGTTTTTCAACACTCATGTCTAAGATACATTTTACGGATACGTCGAGCAGATAAAATCGCACATGATTATATTCATCTTCCCTCAAATACCACTTGTATTAATGATGTTATCAAAGAAAGTCGTCTTCTCTGGTTAGAGTATGTTCTCCTTCAACTAACACAGGACTTGACACATATTTGTTTTGTTACTAGCCGATGGTTAGCGTCAAAAACGAGGAGAGTCAATCAAAACCTGGACTGTCAGGAAAGATTTCGAATTTCCAAAATATTCAAGAACATTGCAGTTATTCTTCCACTGAACTTAAAGATGAAAATATAAATCATTTCAAAAAAATTAAACGAGGCGGACAAGTGATATATGGATTTAGATGATGGAAAAAGGAATGGCTTCTATTTAACGATGGCGTCGGACCGAGCAGCTTGTCCTTGTAGCCAGCGGAGCCAATCTAACCAGTAATGTTAAGAGCTGTTAGAAGAAGAATAAAAGATAATCTAATTTAAATGGTATTAAAAAAAATGGTATTAAAAAAATAATAAATTTTCATATTTTATTCAGCATTTTATCAAATAATATCTTATTGTGTTACTAAATAATTATTGATGACTTTAAAGAAATCTATCAAATGACAAAGAAAAAAAAAATCCAACATGTTTCCGCATATCTTTAATTTTCTTTTCAAATCTTTTTTCTAAGCGAACTTCCTTCTGAATAACTCGTGATTCTTTTAATTCTTCGAGCTTTTCCCATGAACCATAAATTTCCAAACAACGCGTTTCAAGCTGTAATATTGAATAATATTCAAAACAGTCTAATAGTTAGTCTATTCGGAATGTTTCGATTAAAAATATTTAAAATAGTAAAATACGGAAAATTATACCTGAAAAAATAAAAAATATACTGTGAAAATATTTAAAAAATTAAATTTAGCAAAAATAAAAAAAATTTAGAAACTCCACTTCTGCTGAAATTGAAATTAAACATTAGAGAAACTTAAATATTTTAAGTACACTTGCCTGCGCTTTCAAATATAGTTTCATATCACCGTATCGTGGGTTATGAGGATTTTTCTTCGAAATATATCTTAAAATGGGCTTCTTATAATCTATATCACAATCTTTTAGCATGTAAATTCGTTTAGCTTCTGTTCTAGCGATCAGTTTATGTGCTCCTTTATCATCCCTGAAATGAAGAAAAATGACCAAATTGAATTTGACCAAATTCCTTCGTATCTATTTGACTATAGGGAATTTAAAATTACCTGCATGAATTACACACGGGATAGCTGAATCTTTCCCATAAAAAGGAATCAATGAGAGGCTTACAACAAGTTGAGCAACCATCAGGAGCTCGTGCAACGGAAATTTTAGCAGCTTCATCAGCTTCTGGAATAAAAAAAAATTAGATCAGGTGTGTGAATAATATATTAACGAGTTCCAATATAACGAGAATATTTACGAAAATGAAACTATATACAAAAAATATAAAAACCATGAAGGAAAAAAAATTAAAAGACCAACTTCGTTGTCGAGCTTCCGCGATTTTTTCACGCCTCATTTCTTCTTCATCATCATCATCCAGAAAACCACCAGCATCGTCGTAATTCTCTTGATTTTTCCTGCAAAAAACTGTAGATAAATTGTTGACCATTAAAATATTTTCCTTACGATATAAGAATTTTCATCCAAGAGGTAACAGGCTGTATGAGAAAATATGCATTTTAATACGTACAAATATACATAATATAAATTGCACCGCTTTCACGCTAGTTCAACCCCCATAATTCTTCCCTGTATTCTTTCTTTTCCTTTCCCATAATTATGATTTTTCAATACCTCTGGATCCTCGTCGCCTTACCCACTGAGATTTAAATTTATAACTATGACCATGGTGAAACTACATAGCAAAATTCAATGTTACGCAATATAACAAGATAATATTAAGTTACAACTGGAACTGGAACATATTATTATAGACTGCGTTTCGAGATTTGACAATAAAACAGCACATACCTGTAAAGTTTTTCCACGTAAGGCACATAAACCGAGTCAATACCGTTCATTTTTCGTTTTGAGGTCATTCTTCTTTTTTCTCTTTTTTTAGTTGAATAAATTATTGAAAATGGAAAATTCTAGGAAACCAAGGAAATAGAAAAAGCGAACGAGACCGTGATATGTGGTGGCTGTGAAACCCAGTGCCCGACAATGAAGTGGTACTCGTATTTTCAAAAAAAATTTAAAAAACTTGGTAAGTTAAATCAATAATGAATTAAATTATAAATAAATAAAGCACATAAAACAATTCTGCTAATTTATAAATTTTACGAAATTTTCAAAATAAGCCTATGGTGGCAATATGCCCAGTGACATATTGGCTTAATTAAGGCCAAGCCATTCGATAGCTGTGAAATGCGAGGGGCCTCGAAACCCCGTTCTGGTTGCAACAAATCCCCGGACAAAATCGACCTATATTGATAAGCTTAGACCAGAATCAAACCAGAAAAGCTGAGAGCCGCTAAATGATAAATGAAACTTCAGCTTCAAAGCGCTAAAATTCCTCTGCAAATTAGAGAACTCAGTGCATTAGAAAAATTGCAGCTGCAGACTCGGTTTCCGTCAAATTTGTTTGAATGATCCGAATTTACACAAGGAGTTGGTCGCTTTGCGGTGAGGTTGGTTTTTCTTCCCTTTTTAAGTTTTCCTTTTTTCTTCGCTTTTTTTTTTTTCCTCGTTGAATTATGCTAAATATACGAGAAAACTGCACAAAATTAGATACACAAAATTTACAAGCATTGAACATTCCAACTTCGAAAGTGAACGTAGACTTCGGCATTAGTCAGTTGCGCGTGCTCATAGTTCGCCCGTTTAAGCGAGAATTATACCTCTGTGTAATTGTAACTTATTTGCTGTGTTTTCCGTTCAAGCGAAAGCCGAATTGTTCAGAGGGAATGATACTTCGGCATCAGTCAGTTGCGCGTGCTCATAGTTCGCCCGTTTAACGGAGAATTATACCTTTGTGTAATTGCATCCGAACTTATTTGCTTTTTCCCATTTCTGGTAGTTTATGGTTTTTCTCAACTTTTCTTTGCATCACTTGTTGTTAGAAATCTTAATTTTTTAATAATCAATTTTTATTAATTAATTAAATTCAAACAAAAACTGCTCTTGAAAATATTTAATCCATGAAAAAACAAAACTATTTGTACAAAATTAAATCTATAAAAACAAATTTGAAGTCGAATGAATATATTTTCTACGAAGCAAATATTGTTCTTATAATTTTTCGCAATTGTTAGACGATAATCTGAGCTTAAGATAAGATAAAAGATTTAAGATGGGATGGGAGCAGCAAAATTTGCATTCTTTTACGAGGGAAATCTGAATTCTTGTCTACTTTTATTCCAAATGACTCACTAGCGAAAGTATCTTACTGCGGTAGTCAGTAACCCACCATTCCAAAAATGATGAGTCAAGAATTTGGTGAATTCAAAGCTGAGAATTTTGCAGAAATTGCTATTCTTTTGGAAATAAGTGTATTCACTGTCGGTTGAATGTTTTTGGTTTGCCTCTCATGTCTTCCTTTTCACCGTTTTGGCATGCCATCTTAATTTCACTTCATTAAGAATAATGTCGATCTATATTTCGTTTTTCGAATTTAAACGATATAAAATCAACCTTATCCAGGAGTTTTTTAACAAGTCGAACGCAGAATATTTCGCCTGCATTTAAAAATACCAAACGAAGAACGAGAATGCCATCCCATCCCAAATCGTTGCTCAGCTGATTCAATACCACATGCTTAATCCAAAAATTTTGCTCGTAAATCGCGATAAATGGGAATATTTGTAATTTTTGATATTATTTTCGGCAAAAATGTTCAGTATTTATTTCAGTATTTAATATTTGAGTGTTTAAGAAATACTTAAGCATTTACATGTAATCTATTTTGTCATTACCTATCACTGAAAATTTGACCAAATTTTATTAAAAATTATAGTTGTAAAGCAATTTAGGAAAGTGAATACTTGAGTGATATAAATATCGAATATATTAAACTGTAATATTTTGTGGTGGTCTTCATTGAGAATGAACAGTAAAGAATAGAAACGCCTAAACTATTTTGCTAGTGGAACGAGTGGAACGAGTATAACCACTAATGTTGAGCACTATTAAAAGGAGAAGGCACTTTTTGACCTTGTAACTATTTTTGTACAATTCTATTTTATATTTTTTACAATTTCTTCAAAGAATTAAAAATAGAAAAATATTCTTAAATTCGCCATATTCTTAATTAAAGAACGTGAATAATTTCAAATTTTTATCATAAATTTTCATAAATCATAAATTTATTTAAAAGAAATTTATTTATTTATGTTAGCAATACCTGATGTTCCGCAGGAATAGATTGATGACTAATTGCCTAAATAGAACAATATTGGTGTTAAATATTTGACTATATATAATTATATATTTTTAATGAGGATGGCCAAGTGGTGTGGCAACCTCGACCTTCGTTCTCCTCTCCTCTCCTTAACGGAAATAAATAAACCTATTAAAATCTGGTTAGTGCAGGCGACTAGCCTTATATATACTTATTTAATTATATTTTTAATTTTACGGATTTGTTTTAATGAAAATCCAATTTTCCAAATATGCAAATTTCGCAAATTCGCGGAAAATGCCAATTCTTACATTTTCTCATAAATCAATGTTCAAATCAAGGACTTTCACTTTGGTCTTGTCTTTTAATCCAGTTATTCCTGATAAAAGAAGTCAAGCTTATTAGCTTTATTTTCGTATCATCTTAATGTTCTTGAATTTAGAATAAATTTCTTGCAAATAATGGAATAAATTACTAACATTAGCGACATTTATTGTTTTTTCAAGGAAACGGAAACGCTTCTCGACACTGATGATCTCTAATAACCAAATAATGGTATTTATAATTGTAATTGCAAGCATAGTGTATAGCCAGAACCATAAAATTATATAAATTTTTTCATTCAGCATGTTCAAGGGTAGAACACATTGAACCGTCCACCGGTGCAAATTGCCTAATTGTTTGACCTGCAGTATCCCAGAAGCTCATGGATATTAGTTTTTTTATTATTTAGTGCAAGAAATTCTCCTTCAGTATAAAAAATAAATTAAAGGATAAATGCAAAAGGATAAAAGGATAAACAAGATTTCCTCAAATCTCTTCCCTATACAAGATGGCCGAAAATCGTGGAAATAAATAGATAAGCTATTTAGCATTTTTTCTATGATCTAAGAACCTTGAGATCTGATTCTTGACGAGAGCCGCTATGAAATCTCGACAAGCTGAAAGCCGTCGAGTAATTCTACTCATAAGTGAGTGACTCTTTGGCAAAGGAATTTCAGTACGATTGCTTCAAAAAATTTCTTTTTTTCCAATTAGGAAACAATTCAAAAACGAAAAAAATTGACCTCGAAGTCACATAATGTTATCCGAGGAAAAATTCCTGTTTCTTTCCACTCATTGCCAGAAAATAACCGCATTAATAAATTGGCTCCCCATGTTAGTGAATTCTCTAAAATTGCAATGTATAATAATAAATTCTACAATAAAGTATTGAAAATATTGAATAAAAAAGCACTTCTATAATTTCATCGGTTAATTAATATACCGAAAGGTATATCCAAGAAGAAATTCAAGACTGCAAGTTGTATGCAGAGGTTAAGAATAAATAAGGCCTTAGTTATTAAGTAACAAACTGTTATATAGCACCGTAAACTCTTCGTAGTCGTCCTAAAATTTCACAAATTATTTCTTATTTCCTAAAAAATTTCAGCTTTTGAAATATTCAGATTGGAATATTAAAATAGTTGCGATTCCTTTTTTTATTAAATGAGCACACTTGTTTCTCGCAAATGAAATTCTGCTGATTCCAGAGACAACTGTGTCTCTATCGCCAAGCATTTCGCTCATGGACCAACTTATTAGAAATGGTGTTCGAAGCATGCCATTAATTTTTTTTACTTGTTATAGGGGTAGAATGGCTCAGTGGGTTGTTGCTTAATTGGGAGCACCAGTGCTGAGATTCAATTCCCCGCAGGAGTAAACCTGTACAAAAGTCCGGAACTGGCAACTCACTGTATTTCTATCGCCAAGCGACTCCTTGGCATAGTGCGAGAAGCCAGTGGAGCGGGTTTAACCAGTAATGGTGAGGACTTTTAAAAAAAATTTATAATAGTACAAAGTGAATAGGTTGTTTACGTTCGCCTCACATTCATTTTCAATCAGTTTTTCCCAATAGTTTTAAAAAATTACTTCACAATAAACGCGATAGGGTTAGTACATATTTGATTTCGATAGAAACTTCGACTCATTTTCAAACCACTTATCATATGGTTAGCTACCATATCCAAGATGTTATCATCATTCGCTGATTTGGAACTATTTGTTACAGATAATACCATATTAATGATTGCGCGCACTTGTACTCCTGTAAAGCTAGGGCTATTATAGTTTAACATTATTCAGAGTTTACTTTAAGGCGATGTGTGGAATAGTGGAGCTCTTACTGAAAGGAAATTCAAGTGGCACTGTATGCATTTCCTGAAATAACTCTGGTGAAAAGGTATAATCCTAACAGTCAATAATGCTGTTAGAAGAAGAAGAAGAAAGATAATTATTGTTATTGTTACGCAATTTTTCATTGATTTAGCCCTTAGTTGTTGTTGATCTAAATTTGTTCCAAAATTTCTTTATAATGGTACGGCAGTTTCGGTTTTAAAACTCTCTCTTCAGGTTGTTAAAAGTAATATTTTCTGAAGTCTGAAAGTAGAAATATTTCCGCAGGATAAAACCTTTCGGAAAGTAATTCTTTATCTGCATAATTTGATACAATAAAGTCAGTGAATCATGGAAGTGGAAGGTTAACTGGTAAAAATCGCAAAAACCTAAAAAAGAGCATTTTCTGCAAAGAACATTTTAATGTTTTACCTGACATCCAGTTGAATGATCGCCAAAAAAGATATGGAAGAGAGAATGATATTGCTTGCAAAGCTAAAACGAAGGGAACCCACTAAAACAAACAGAAAAATAAATATTAAGAATGATAAAATGATTGTAAAATAATATTACTTTTGATTGAGTAACAAATTCAATATACTCAAATTAAATTCGATAATTGAGTCGATAATTCAGATAATTGAAATGGTGCATTTAGAGAAAATTATGAAATTTTTATAAGTGGAAATGACTCTTATTTGACGCTTGCATCTGCCTCAGCTGACTCCCTACTTTTAGAAAATACAGTAGTCGCTGCAAAACGAGAAATGGTTTGAAATGAATGCTGTGGAAAAAAATGGTTTCTATTGGAAACATGCCTGATAATACGGAATTTTAGCTGTCGTTCGTGCAGTGGTATTCAGTGGGACTGATTTATCTCCTGTTGGCACATAATAAGTATTTTCGATGAAACAATAGTCGTTTGTATAAACGTCCCAACCAGCTCGAAATTGCATTGGTGTCCAACAAATTAATGCTTGACCGAAATATGACTAAATTAAACGATTTAAAATTAATTTTTAGGAGAAAAAGTAGAAAGAAAAGAATTTTTTTCTTGGATAGATTCATAAGAATTTTATCGAAACAAAAGAAAGTGGTTATTCCTTCTAAAAAGAATCCAATCAGCGGAATTAACTGGAATAATGAATAGCAAGTGGGATCCAGATGGTTCTGGCAACCAAGATTTTTCAATTTTAATTACCTATGTAATTCTTTTATGAAGGGATTTCACTTAAGGCGATGGAGTTAAGCACACCAAAAATGATAAGTGCTATTTGACAAAAAAAGAAAAGGCTGATAGTATATCCAAAAAATGCAATTAAGATTGATTAACACTATACATGGAATATTATTATAGAATATTAACATATATTCTAATTTTTAAGCTAATGTAATTTTTTTAAAGTTCATTCATATTAGTCGAACATTGAATGCCAGTTAAGATTATCCCAGATTATCGTGATA